ATTAAAATGTAAGAAAGAGCTAACAATAATATATATGTAAAGCAAAACATGAGACAAGGTCGTTTTACTTTGTGTGGGTTGAGTATACTATCTACAATGAAAATGTATGGACCACAGTTAACAATCTCTTAAATTTTTTTTATTAATGTGGGTCAAAAAGTTACACAGGCAGTTTTATATAAACCATCAGTGAAATAGAACACAAGTCTATATAACAGGTTCACAAACATGTTGGAATTTAATGTATGAAAATCTGTGCTATGGTTTGGGTATGGTTTGCGTCTATTTCCCAAGAGTCATGTGCTGAGAGCTGGATCCCCAATATTGTGATGCTAAGAAGTATTAAAACCTTTAAGAGGCAGAGAGCCTAGAGGTCATTTTTGCTCATACCTTTCTTTCTTTGACTTCCTATCCCACCATGTGATTTCTCACTCCCTCAGCTTCCCAACATTGGGATCCCATCCACCTTTAGGCCTTCAGCAGAGTTAAGCAGAACCAGCATCATGCTCTTGAACCTCCAGAACTGGGAGCTAAATAAACCTTCACTTTTTATAAAGTACTTAGTTTCAGGTATTTAATTATAGTAACAACAAATAGATTAACACAACTGGCATTTCAAATCACTGAGGAAAAGAAAATTTGTTAGATAATTTATGTCATACAATTGGCTAGTCAGTTGGGGAAAAATAATAATGTTTATTCTTCTTAATCAAATAAATTGCAGATGGATAAAACATTTATTTTTTTAAAAGGAAGTCACAAAATAGCTTGGGAAAAAATATAACAGAATATATTTAAATGTAAGTGTGAAATGGCCTTGTAAAAATGTACCAAAACTAAAACACATAAAGGAAACAATTTCTAATTTTTACCACATAAAAATTAAAACTCTGTCTAGCATAAAACACCATAAATAAAACTGAAAAATAAAATGGAAAAAAATGTCCATAGTATGTATGCCAAATAATTAAGATCTTTAATATTAAAAGATCACTTAAAAATCCAGAAGAAAGAGATGAATAGTAAACTCCACAAAGATAGAGAAAAGACTGTTCTTGGTAGGGGGGTGTGGCTAATTGGTAAAAAGCAATTATAATATATAGGCAGACCTAGATTAGATCTCCAGGGAAGGAAAGAAGGAAGGAAGGAAGGAGGAGAAAATTCTCAACTTTACCAGAAATGAATAATGTTTTAGTCAGCTTTCTCACTGCTGTGACTCAATGACACCACCAGAACAACTGTAGAGTAGGAAAGGTTTATTTAGGGGCTCACAGTTTCAGAGGTCTCAATCCACAGACAGCAGGCTCCACTCCTTGGAGCTTGAGGTGAGGCAGGACATCACAGCAGAAGAGTGTGGCAAACAGAAACAGTTCACTGTGGTGATCAGAAAGCACAGAGAGAGTCTCCACTCTCCAGATACAAAATACATACCCCATAGCCACACCCCCAATGAGTCACTTCCTCCAGCCACAGCCCACCTGCCTCCAGTTACCACTCAATTAATCCCACCCAGGGATTAATTCGCTGATTAGATTAAAGCTATAACCCAATCATTTCTCCTCCAAACCTTCTTTCATTGTCTCACACATGAGCTTTTGGGGTATACCTCACACCCAAAACATTAACAAATAAAATATAAAAATAATCTTAAAAAATGTTTTTCCTTACCAGATTAGAAAAAAAAAATATTAAAAACTGACAATTATTTGTTTGGCAAGAATTCAAGGAAATGAATAGTGTCAAGATTATTTTAAAAATAGTCACTGCATTTTGGTTGAATTAGTAAATATCATGAAATAATTTAAATGTTCACACATAAACTTGAATGAAAAACAACTAGAGCTACAGAATGTCTTGTATGATATAAACATGATTTATAAGAGCTGTCTGGAAGACTATTCACCAAAGCAACATTAACCTAAGTGTTAAACATCTTTAATGATTTGCCCTACTTTAAAACTTTAAATCTACAATTCCATTCTAAGAATTTTAATTAATGGCTATTAACTTCTCTAGACAGTACAAAAAATATTTTTAAAGCAAAACATGAAATATTTTATAGTTATCATCAAAATTGCTATTCAACCAGACATAAGTTTGAACATCATTTTACTATTTCAAATAAACTGAAGTATATACTCTTACCATTTCACTAAAATATCATTAGTGTTCATAAAAAATAACCATTACCATATGCAGAATGGGGAAATCATTAAAGCTATATAACCACAAGTATTATTCTGCTTTGGAGTTAACTTTTCATTGCACAGATAAAGCAAAAGGCTACCAAATAAAAAGTATTTTTATTTTGTGTTTATGATTACCTTTCTCCAGACACTTATTACAGCAGAAAAAAAATTATATATTTCTCTGAACTTGTAGACTCAGCAGACAGATATATTTTGAAAAGGTTAAGCTATGTTTAGCCAGATAATCCTCAAGAGATAGATGCCAGAGAATTAAATATTAGGTACTTAAATTAACTTCTTATTTGGTACTTAGGAACAAATTGCCAAGAATTATCATTGTCAAATAGTGTTATTGACTCTCTTGGAAAAAGAAAGTAAGGTCTACTTGAAGAAAAAAAATTAGAATTTGAAATAAACCAGCATTTTTAACACTTTGCATGAATAATAGAAACTGTTATTCCCCAAAATGATACTTGGCTTGCACAGCACTAATGGAAATGACTAGTTTCAGTCTTGAGTCAGTACTACTAGCTATGTCTTGACTTTGTATTCCCAGCTTTAGGCTTTTAAAGGACATTTCAAAGTATGTCCTGCTGAACTATTTCCTACAGAGATACTTAAACAAGAATTTCCAAAATTCTTCACATATAATTTTTTTTCAAAAAGTTAGCAAGCGTTGATTTCATCAATTGAAACTAAATGATTGGCAAACACATCCTAAAAATACATTTTTGCCTAAATAAAAAATAAATGTAATAATAACCTTCCTTCAAGAATTCAAGATGAAACTCATTGTGGTTCCAAAACACAGGGAAAACAGGTGATTTTAAACTGTGAAAGAATGCACTGGAGTGCTTCAATTTTCACCGAAAGTAAGGTTTAAAGAAATGGGTTCAGGGTATACCATAAAAAGTGTAGGTAAGTCACTCATTTTGTGATTGTATAATTAAAATCTTTTAAATATTATTTTCACTAGAATATTACAATGTACTGGAAAAGGCTCTATTTCATATAATATTTAATATTTTAATATTCTTAGAACATCTAATAGGTGGTTTTTCAGGATTTCCACTAGCTCTTCTAAAAGGCAGGAGCCTTTGGAGCATGCGTATTTCTGGGCAAGTAATATTGCCCCCCATGGGGATGAGAACTGATGCTTTGAGCAGGGGGAGGGTGGGATAACGAAAGCTTCTTGTTTTTATGTAGAAAGCACAGACACACATTCAGTACTATAAGCAGATACGCAGTATGTATAGTGTATCATAATTTAATTGGGAGGGGTGGTTAGGAGAACAAAAAGTCTTGAAAGTCTCTTTAAAAATTTACAAATAGGAAAAAAAGGGGGGGGGTTAAGAAAAATTCAGACAAATCTGGATTCTAATCACTATTCCAAGATAAGAACTTAGGCAAGTAACCTAATACCTTGGAGCCTGAATTTCTTCATTAACCATATGGAAATTGGGACTTCTTTCTTAAGCTGAAGATTTTAAAAGAAAGCATATGCAAAAGCACATGTCACAGTGCTCCAGAAGCTGTTGCCACTCAATCAGGGTTAGCTCCCTTTCCTTTCCTCCTCGTTTGGAGATGCTGTAGATCATATACTCTTCACAAAAGACTAGGCAGATTCCAAGAGGCATTGAGACACAAGGAGAAATGGAATGAACTCCAAGAGGCAATGACTTTTGTATATGATCCTAGACCCCAAGTATATCTAAAGATGGTGAGATTAAGTTCAAAAGACTGGACTCAAGTGCCAAATCTGTAATTTTGTTAATTGTATAAATAGTGCTGAACTGATTAACTTTTATGAGCCTCAATTCCCACATTGGTATTTCAGAGTTCTTATTAAGAATAAATGAGGCCAGGTAGTTAAGCACCACTGAGTTCAATCTCTGGAAGGAGAAGGAGGAGGAGGAAAAGGAGGAGAAATTGGGGAGGCTGAGGTAAGAGGACTGCAAGTTCAGGGCCAGCCTCTGCAACTTAGCAAGACCCTGTCTCAAAAGAAAAAGTTTAAAAGGGCTAGGGATATATCTAAGTGGTAGAGGACCCTGGATTCAATTCCTAGTACAAAAATTTAAAAAAAAAAAAAAAGAAGAAGAAGAAGGAGGAGGAGGAGGGGGAGGGGGGGGGGGGGGAGGGGAGGGGAGGGGGAGGAGAGAACTAATGAGACAATTATGTAACACCTTTTGGGAATTAGACTACTGAAGTTACCACATGATAGGATACTGCTGTGGTTTAAATATGTCCTTCAAAGTTCGTGTGCTGGGAACTTAACTCTTAATGCAACAGTGTTAAAAGATGGGACCTTTAAGAAGTAATTAGATCATGAAGGCTCTGCCCTTATGAGTAGATTAGTGCCACTTCTGTAGAAGTGTGCTAGTTATCCCGGGAGTGGTTCCTGATATAAAAAGGATGAGTTCAGTCCCTCTTCCCCCATCCCCTACTGCTAACTATCTCACTCTTACTTTTTGCCCTTTACTCTTCCACCTTAGAATGAGCCAATCAGAAGGCCCTCACCAGAACTGCCTCCAGAACTATGAGAAATAAATGTATTTTCTTTATAAACTACCCTGTCTGTTGTATCCTATCATAGCAACACAACAGATTAAGGCAGTCATGGCTCTTGTTAATATCATCAGGAAATGGAGATACTGATTCTGTGTATGTACTGGGGAAGCCATGGAAAAGAACAAAAATGGCTCCTCCCTACGGTCCCAAAACAGAATCATACCTTTAAAGTCTAAACCTCAAAGGCAGAATGTCCTTGACAGTGTCAAACTGTTTAAAACAAAATTACCAAAGAACACTTACTTATCTTTTTCTGTGTCTAGAAAGTGATCATCTAAGAAACATGATCCAAAAAATTCAACTAGGGTACGGTGGCCCTTCTTGCTGACAGTGTGGTACACGCGAGAGGCCAGGTGCAAGTCAATGGGCAGCTGTCGGCCTGGGATGTTGGTGCACAGATCATGCATGTGAGGAATGGAGGGGGCTTGTAGAATTCTGCAACAGAGGAAAGGACATGAGCTACTTTTATCATTGTGTGATCTTCAGACACAAAATGCATTTATATTGACAGTTTAGTTCAGGCTCTAAAAAGGATGTGTGAGTACAGGAGATCAGATACAATTTTCATATTACAATCTCAGACTATTGTTTAGAGCTTCAAGCTCATTATCCAACCATCTGCTGAATATCTCAAACTAAATGTCCTACAGACACCTCAATATCAAACTCATTATCATCCCACCCCCCAGCCTCTTCTCTCCTCAATTTTGTAACTTAGTCCCAGACACCATTTCTAGCCAATGTGCTCTCCTCCTTCCTACTCTGCTTAAATGCTAATGCCCTTGAAGAGGTAGAATAACATATGTGGTACATCACCCATTACCTAGCAGGATGAAACCCAGGCCTCTCTCAGTCAGTGTGGCATCTCCCTCACACTCTTTTGGAACTTGCCTCTCTCCTACCTTCCAAAAATAGAAAAGAAGGTGTGATGATCTGCCTTCTTCATGATTTGTCTTAGTCACTGACTCCTCCAGCTTCCCAAACTAGGTGTGGCTTCTAAGGTTTGAACCCCTCTTTCTACACTGAAAAAAATATCTTCAGTGTTTCAGTTATTCTCTCCGTGCTCAGTGCTCCTAAATCGCATCTCTGGTATTACTATCTCGCCTAGCTTCCTCATCTTCAAGGTACAAATCATCTTTGAATCCTCTCTCCACTTGTATATCCAAGCTACCTGGGAGGCTGAGGCAGAAGGATCTCAGGTCTGAGGCCTGCCTGGGAAATTTAGTGAGACCCTGTCTCAAAATAAAACATAAAACAGGCTGGGTATGTAGCTCAGTGGTAGAGTACCCCTGGGTTCAATCCCCAGTTTTGGAGGATGGGGGAAAATAGCATTTCTCCCCTGCGCAGGGTTGCTCAGGTATGCTCCTTCTTCACACCCACTGCCATCACACTCCAGCACACCTGGGCCTGGATCTGAATCTCAGTTCTAATACTTGCAAAATGGATCACTGCCTTCTCTGAAAAGCTGCAGAAAAATCAGAATAAAAAAAAATTCTAGCTCTTATCTTTGTAAGAAATGATAAAAATAATAGTCCTATCATTTCAGGTCTGTGAAAGTCTCTTAAGAAACACTTGTTATATTTTTATTGTCATTATTATTTGCATTGCACAGCACCTACCCTGTTGGTAGGTATGTGTGTACATTATTCAGTCACTAGGAGAGAATGGTTATGACATTTTCACAACAGGGCCCAACAAGAACAAGACGTAAAATTTGTACATGTTCCTGTGGTGAAGGAAAAAAAAGAGAGAGATAAATCTAAAGCATGTAGAAATGCCTGAAAAATAGAGACCTAAAGGCGAGGTTGGGGAATGAGTGTCCAGGAAGCCAGGGCTTCAGGCACTCGGGGTCCTACAAAAGGGCTTTGAAAAAAGAGAGAAGACCAAAAGGTAAGCTCCCATGTCAAGCTCAAATGCACCATCATTCTGACTGGGACAGGTCCTGGCTAGTGGAATGTGCTTGAGATTACATTACTGACTTATTTTTTTCTTTGAAAAGCATCACAACTGATCTGCATTCCCACGTTCCCATTATAGTCTAGCAACATAGATTAGCAAGTGACTCTCCCTCAATTGTTGTGCTAAATAACAATATGCTGCCATAAAGGGCTGGATTCCCAAGAAAATAATGTGAGAGTTAGTCAGTGGTGAGAAAAGATAGGTTGATATCTGATTAAAGAAAAAGATGTTCTGAAAATTTTTTTCAAGATTCTCTTTTATAACTTTTTTTAACTTCAGATTTTTCTTCTTCTCCTGTTTCTCTCTAACGTAAAGTGCTAATTTCTGTTTTAATGAATTAAAAGAGCACTACCTATATCAATAAGATCTACAAATATTTTTGGCATGCTCAGGAAAGGCCGTGTTTTTATAGCACACTCTCCTTAAGCAGGACTATTTGTCATTCTTTGAAACACAGAGACATAAAAAAGAAAAGCCTCTGACTCTGTGTGTGGTCATGCTACTTTGCTTAATGCACTAAATGCAAGGTTTTTTAGGGGAAAAAAATCAAGAAGTTTCTGCTTCATTGATAATCTGACAGTAACTATTTATTGAAGGTAAAATACTTGTTGTCTGCTGTCACTATTTGTTTTAATACATAATCTTGCTAACTAAATGAGTTTAAAGCAATGCAGATAAGCAATGGCATGTATGGGGTCACTTAAATGCCAATTTGACTGTTTCATAAACTTTGGAATTCTTTTCCCATGACTCTATTCCCAGCTACTAAATTGTGAGTAATATCCATTTACAAAGTTGAGGCTGGCCATAAAAAAGGTTGTCTTCCATGTCCAGCACACTTTCCAGTGCCCTAAGCAAGAACAAAAGCTAATAATTAAAGCTTCTTCAAACCCCCATAAAGAGTTAAATGAAGAATAATCTAGAATAAACCAACCCATAAAACCTAGTAGTGAAATAAAGAGAAAGCCAGGGGTTCAACCAGGTGAACAGCAAAACGTAAGCCATAATCTAAATTGTGTTTACATAGTGCTGTTCAAAATTGTGAATGTATTCCTGTGTGATGAGAAACTCTATCAAAAATATTGGTGGGGTCATAGATGAAACAGGAGGAGAAGAATAAATCCATTAACTGCTAAGTAAGTTGGCCTGTGGACATTTTGCGTTGGGTTGTCTTTTATCATAAAATCAACCCGCAGTATAATAAGCAGTTTATCCAAATCGAGCATTATAGGGTCCAAAACTATCAAATCTAACAGCTAACATTTAATTTTGCTATTTTCCCAAAGAGCTATTTTTTTTATTCCAGCTAGTATTACATTTATTAAAGTAAGTGCATTGGTCAAAATCAGGAATCGAAGGAAGCACAGACACATCTTAACTATAAAATCTACACCAAATTTTCCTTTGAGAAGTTTTAACTCAGATCTCACATATGAATTTCTAAAACATTAGCATGTTCATGCATCAATGCTACTGAATGACAGCTCTTCAGAGAGTAAAATTTGTAAATTTAATGAAGTTACTTTTTAGGCAGGTTTTTATCACGATGGTATTTTAAAGACTTTGTTAATCTCCATGCTGGAATTCTTGGTTTACTTTTTGGTTTTCTCTTAACTTCTTTTCCTCTGATTTGCAAGAGTTGTCCTGATTTCAACTTTAAAAACAAAGTATACTGTTAGGGGAAGTTGTAACATGAGAATTAGATCTTTTTTATTTAATAGTTTTTATATTTAAACTGCTGATTTCTATATATAGTTTATAACAGAATATAAGTGCTAAAGGTGAGCTACTTCCCTCTAAATACATTCCTAAATTTTTACATATACACCCTCATGGCAATAAAGATATTGGTACAATATATTTACAATATTCTTCATCCACAAATCCACTTTTTATCTCTCCCCCCACCCTTCCAGTGCTGGGCATAGAACCCAAGGCCTCACACATGCTAGGCAAGTGTTCTACCACAGAACTACATCTCCAGCCTGATTTACTCTTCAAGACTGGTATTTTTAGCAGAACTTAATCACTAGTTCCTTAAGGTTTGGCATAACTTGTGGTTAACTAGCACAAGCTAAAAAGAACTCAAGTGCTTTATATTATTATTTTGAGCAATGTTTACCAATTTATACTTCTTACAGTTGCACTGTTTTCCATTTCTACTGCTTGGCAAAAATCAAGTACGTTCTGTGCCATAAATAATTTTAAATATTGATTCCCTAGGTTTCCTAGAAGATCTGCACAATTTCTGATAATTTTTCATGTAAACATTTTTTTCCTTGGGTTGCTCTGTTTTTTGTTTTTTGGTTTTTTTTTTTTTTTTTTTTTTTTTTTTTT